ACCGCTAACCTCTAGAATTTTAAATTGGAATCTCCCTCTCTGTCCCTCCCTCTCTCTCTCTCTCTCTCTCTCTTACTCTCTCTCTCTCTCTCTCGTGCCACTCACCTTCGCCTCCTCCATCTGCAAGATGTTAGACTGACACACTTCTCTCTCTCTCTCTCTCTCTCTCTCTCTCTCCCTCTCTCTCTCTCTCCCTCCCTCTCTCTCTCTCGTACCACTCACCTTCGCCTCCTCCATCTGCATGATGTTAGACTGACACTCATTGATGTTCTCCTGAGCGTTCTCCACCTTCAAGGACAGACCCTCCACGGTACGCGTCAGCTTACGCTGGACTTCCTCCGGCTGATCCAACATGACAAAAACAATACAGGACCAATCAGAACTCATAGATAAGTATACGTATCTATCAATATAATACGATCCAACATGACAGAACAATACAGAACCGATTAGAACTCACTCATAGATAAGTATACGTATCTATCAATATATGATCCATCATGACAGAAACAATACACAGCCGATTAGAATTCTTAGATAAGTATACGTATCTGTATGATGTATCTATCAACATATGATTCAGCATGACAAAAAACAATACACAACCGATTAGAACTCACTCATAGATAAGTATACGTATCTGTATGATGTATCAATCAACATATGACCCAACATGACAGAACAATACACAACCAATTAGAACTCATAGATAAGTAAACGTATCTGTATGATGTTTTTATCACCAAAGTACAAACATACAGATACATATAAAACATTCACACACACACACATACACACGCACACACACATACACATGCACCCGTCCACCCAAACACACACTAACACACACACACACAAACAAAACACACAAACTATGTACCTGGTTAGAGTTGAGCGCGTCCTTCCTCTTCTTCTCGTACTTTTCCAGCTCCTTGGTACACTTGTCTCTTTGCTGTGGGGTAAAACAGTTACACATGTACCTTACAGAGTTATCAAATTTGTACGGGGGACAAGTCAGGCGGGTAAACTGCGCTGATTACAAAAGCAACTATGTACTTCATTCTCAAACTGATTTTCCTGGGCCAGCACAGAAGACACAAGAGTGAGTAAAAATTATACACCTCCCAGAATCTAACGTGTGATTGCTGAGAAAAGTTTGTGGTTATTTTAATGTGTGATTGTCATCGTACATCCATGCCCTCACCCCTCTCCCTCTACAACCACAGTGACCCCCGACCCCACCCACCTTCAGCCCCACGTCAATGCCACCCCCCCCCACCCCTCTCTCTCTGCAACCACATCAACCTCTAACCCCTCTCCTTCTACAACCACATCAACCTCTGACCCCACTCACCTTCAGCCACACATCCATGTCTCTCTCCAGCATGCTGATCGTCTGTCTCTTGGTGATAACAGAAGAGATCTGGGGACCACACAAAATCGCAAGACATTAAATCAAAACACACTGCATCACATGAACCCATATTTTATCATATCATATCACATCACATCACATAATCACATGACACCACATGTCATTACATGAGACCACATCAAATCACAGCAGTAACTCAGAAATCAAAGCACCATTCAGCACTTGTTCGTTCATTTGATTGAGAAAAGAGAAAGCGTATCGATCCAATAGCAGTCATTCAGTGCTGGGGAAAAATGAAGACGGACAGACAGAAACAACAGTGGGAAAGTGTGAAGAAGCAGGACCTACCTACCAGTGGCGCCCTCCAACCACCCAGCGCTGTGTGTCAAGGCACGACCCCGACACCTCACTGACAGCTTTCTTAACTCTTAGTATACAGAAGGCTATTCCACATTCTACGTGGCCAGTTGTGTCATCCAATATTTCAGGACCACAAACTTCCCTATGACTTTGCTCTTATTTAAAACTATAATATGAATAAAATAAACACCAAACTGAGTAGACATGAATGATCCACCCAATAGACATTCAGTTTCATTTTTAGGAAAGATGTGTTTGCTGGACTTTCTTTCTTAGACTACTGTTTTGACGTCAAACAACCGAGCGATGCCGGGCACCAACTGAACTGATGCGTCGTATACCGACAAGAGTTTTTAACACTCAGAACTTCAACCAAAACCTTTTAACATCTGCTGTCATTGCGTGTCACTGATATTTGTAAACCCCTCTGCAGCCACACAATCATCATCATCCAGTGCCAGATCTGCGACAGACATCGACGATCATAGTTTTCCATTCATTCCTTTGCTCGGATGCTCTCAAAAAAGC